ACACACACACACAGGTTTACAACTGAGTTTAATCTATTTTTTGTGCAGGAGCACATTTTAAAAAATCCATCCTTTTGGTCCCGCCCCAAAAAGTGCTCTAAAAATGTTGTGTATTAAGGCCTTTATCTCTGGTTTTAAGTGTCACTGAATAAAGGACACGTGAGTGTGTATGCATGAATCAAACACACCTGTGCTGACAGACATCTCTGTGCTGCATCCTGCTGCAAAGTCCTGGAGAACGACAGTCAGCTCACATCCACCGGAGAGCTGCAAACAGACGACACGTGTCACTTAACAATCGAGCTTCAAACTGAGCTCAAAACACACGTTCTGTGCACAGTTTTCACTTTCAGGCATCTTATCTGCATTTAAGCTTCGGAAGAATTCGCTGCTGGTGTCAGAGAAATGTAATCCAACCCTGAGCCAGGACCAGCATCAATCCCTGTTTACACCATAAACAGAGGAACTGGAATTCAGGGCTGAAGAAACAGGAAAAACCAGGACAACAACATCCAGTCCTGATCTTTCTTCTTTACATGCAGAGAGAAAGTCATGCACGTTCTAGGCTGACATCAGTTTCTGGTGTTAGAAAAGGGAAGGTTCTCCTTCCTGTTTATTATTGTGGAATAGACGGCACAGGAACGAGGTGTCAGTTAATATTAACTGAAAACGAGCCGTTTATTGAGGCTGATCTTAGCAAAGAAAAACTCAATCAGAACCTAAACTGCGCACAAATACAAAGCGCCCTTGTCATTTTCTCGAAAGCAGGAAACACTGTGGCTGCAGCAGGCAAATCAGCTGATTGTGTGTCTGTGCGAGTGCAGAGCTGAGCTCCTCCGTGATGTCTGCAACGCTGGAAACAGACTGTCAGGGAGGATGGTTATAGAAGGAAACCAACTGCTGCATGTGAGTGTGTCTGTGTGCGATCGACTCCCATTTCTCCTCAGCACACACAGATATAACCTGGGACAGATGCAGCAGCTCCACGGCTCCCTCTGTAGGACAGACATCAGACTGCAGGTGGAAGCACAGGAGAGCTTCTTCAAGCTCGTCTTCAAATTTTGATGTTGCGTCCCACAGCTCACAAAATTTCACCGTCTTTGTTCTTGGC